TTCTTCCATTAATACCAATGATAGGGCACTATTCCTCCCACAGATACAAAGAAAGGGGTACTCTTCCACCCACTAATACCAATGATGGGGCACTAGTCCTCATCCTGCTGACCTCAGGAGTTATTTTACTCCCCCTGATGGAAGTCAAACTGGCTTGTTGGATGGGGTCTGCTGGCTTATGTATGTGGTTGCAGGCAGCCTAGCCTCCATGAACATATTTGAAAGCAAAACTCCAGGCAACAAGTTAACCCAATGAGTAAACTTGGGTATACACTAGTAGATGTTCAAGCGAAAATGTGTACAAAAATTTGTTTGAAGATACCTAAGAATCTTCGTACATCTTCATACTAGATTGTAAGCTCGTAAGAGTAGGGCCCTCTTACCCCTCGTACGCTGTCTGTCTTTGTTGTACTGTGCCATGTATTGTCCCCCCCTATTGTACAGCGCTGAGCAAACCCTTTGGCGCTATATAAACTCGTAGTAATAATAATAATAATAATAATACTTTGTACATTCAACACCTTGACAAATATTGTTTGAAATTTTGTTGCTTTTAACATTCAGTTTTGAAATGAATGTAATTTCCTGAATGAAAACCACATACACTGTTAGAAAAATGTTCAAAGAAAAATGAATGGTGTGTCTTTTCATACTGAATATTCCCTTTCTCATTATTATGGGTTTACAGTATATGAGAATAAATTAAATTCAGGATGCTGTGTTGGATGCAGGATATTGTTTGCTTTCTACTACTGTATTCCTGCACATGAGAACTAACGAATGGTTGGGAGGGAAAGCCTGATCATGACCGAGTGGTTAACAGATGATAGAGGTCCAGTTAACAATTGGCTGTGGTGTCAAATATGGCAGCTGTGACAGAACGCCTGTCACCCCGATTAGATGATTCCATTAGAGAACTGCTTCCTCGCCGCTAAAACACAGGACCAAGGTAATATAGCCAGGCATCGCACCCAAGACTAGTGAACACTAGCTTAGATGCCAAACTGCAACTACTTTATTGAACAGAAATACGGATTTTTTTTCACACTTCAGGAATAGGGGCAGCCCCCACATGTACAATAAAACAAATATGATACATTAGGATAAACATACCACAATGGTTTGATAACAAGGTAAAGTGGACATAATACTAATCACATCTCCAGGAGGACTAGCAGACAGAAACAAATATGTGACTCAGTTAACTCAATTAACAATGGGAATGCACACCTAGGAGGCAAACAATGGTAGAAAGACAGTAAACACATAACATCTTGATAAACAGATTGGAGCAAGAGTCCTCAGCATCAGGTTGTTTTGGGCTAATTATATCAACATCGTCTTAGAGTCTCTGAATCTAATAATGGGGACTTCAAGCAGTCAATGCTGGTTTGGGCACAGAGACCCAAAATTGGTATTCTGGTCCTCCAGTTCTCAGGGCCTGTGTGTTTTCGGGAGACATGGACTTGAATCAGAAGTAAACTACTCCAAATTTCCCCCCAGCCACACACCTCTCAAAGAATAGAGCCTCTTCATATTCCAGGGCCATGGCCAGTGGGCAAGAGGCTAGCCTGCAGTCCCCTCCAAAAGCCCCTGTCCCAGTTGGGTCTGTCACAGCAGCATCCTAAAGCAGAGCTAAGGGTCAAAACATGTTTTAATTTTTGGATAGAGTAAGGAGGAGGAGGGAGTATAGCCCCTGTCAGCTGTTTTCATTTTTCTTTGCTACCTATGTCCTATTGTGGAGATTTGCCTTCAATTCCTACCCAATAGCCAAACAGGAAGTGAGAGGAAATCCCTCCAAAGTGAGGGAATCTTTGGTTGTCACCAGGATCACCAGAACTAGTGTCCCCATTGCATGATTTCCTCTCTATTACTGTTCTGGGGACAACCCAAAATATGGGATCTTCTTTTACTTTCACACTCAGTGACAATGGTAAAAAAGACAAATAGAGAGGGTAAAGGCCAGTTCACACCATAGAAACACAGTCTGGATGCATTTCTGCAAGCACTTTTTTTTTACGAATTTTGATGTGTTTTTGACGCATTCCTGTGCATTTTTGATGCATTGTCGCATTTTTCCTTCTTTTTTGGGTAATTGGGGTCCAGTGCGTTTTTGATGCATTCCAGTGTGTTCCAGTGCGATTTTGATGCATTTTACCGTGTTTCAGTGCAGTTCTGTGCAGGAAAAATGCAGCATGTTCTAGAATGGGAACACACTGGAACTACAAGCACTGGTGCGAACCATGCCATTGACAACAATGCAAACTACTTTCTGTTCATTTTGCATGCAGAAAAAAAGGCATTGGAGTGCATGCAGTGTGAACCAGCCCTTATGATCCTTTCACAAAGGCGGTCTATTTTTTTCATCAGTTTTTACATTAGTCTTTCATCAGTGTTTATATAAATTTTTACACCAGTTTTTTACATCCACTACCAATGCAAAAATGGACTGTTTGTCCGTTTACATCTGTTTTACGTCCGTTCCTGTTTTTTTTTAACAAAACAAAAATGGGGCTTTGGTCCGTTACAAAAAATGGATGTTGATGGATGTGGATGTAAAGGGATGTAAACAGATGATCATCTGTTTACATCCATTTTTCCATAGAGATGCATTGATGTCCATTTTTCATCCATCAACGGATGGATGTAAAACGGACAAATGGAACACCAGTGTGAAAGGAACCTTAAAAAGACAGCAATTAAATACCTGTCAGGTATTCTAAAACCTCTCCAGTCTGTTCAAAACTGAAAAGAGTTTTATCTTTAGTTACACTATACTAACAAAGGCAACATTACATCTCTAACAACACAGAATCTGTAAAAAAAAAAAGAAAAAAAAAGGCGCCCGCAAGTAGTTTGGTACAGTTGGGAAAAGTCACAAAGCACCACCCTAAAAAAAAGGATAACTTTCCATATATCTGGTCTGACTGCCCAACTATGATGCTCCCCTACAGCCACGGACAGGCTGCTGCAGTTGAACAAAGTTGTAAATGACATGTCAAGCACTACTTCTTCTGAGTACCTGAACTGACCTAAGGTATTAAAATTTAATAAATGAACGTTTTCAAGATGCAATTATAAAACCAGGGAAAGCTGTACACCAGACTATTTCTATTGTTAATAATTTACATTACAAAATAGCAAAGTTTTGCCCTTTAAAAAAAAAACACACTTTTTGGAAATATACACACACCAAAAAAGTATACATAGCACAGAACAAGCTGTCTTTATGAACCTAAATCAGCATAGCTCCAAATGTTTTAGCTGGCAAATATATATATACATCTATGCGCGTTGCGGTTGATGCATTTTTTGTGCATTTTTAATTCATTTTGTATTACTTTACCTGGTTGTCAAGAAGCTGGTGGCCACCGATGCCCTTAACAACCAGCTTAAAGTCACATTAAACCCAACACGTAAAATGCGAAAAAAAGCATAAACCTCAATACTTGCATTTTTGGCATGGTTCCGGTGAAGTCTATTACACGCAAAACACGATCTCCTGCAGGAAAAAAAAGTCCCTGACCCTTTCAAAAATCTGCACCGGCTCAAAATGCACTGATGTGCACTAGATACATAGGAAATCAAGTTAAATGAACTATAGTGCATTTCTGCAAACTGGAAAATGCACTGAAATCCACATACTGTAAGTGTGAACCTAGGGTAAGAGTGTGGTAGGTTCTCTGTACACCTCGGTCTCTCAATAGTGTGACAAATGGTGGAGTGTGTGAGAGATTAATTTACGTATTGGAATAATGTATTTGAATTTGGTTAAATGTTCACAAGTGGTGTGAATATATGAAAAATCTTGAAGGGTGTATATTAATTTATATATATATTCTGATATAAATATAGATATCTGTATTATTATATTATAACTATAGTATATTATTATTATACTTTTATGATATATTTTATTTCAGTTCTAAGGTCATTTCCAAGAAAAGTGGAGAATTGTAGGACCACTTCCATGTTGGTGCTATGTGTGTGGTTCTTCCAAGGTTGTACAGTAAGGAATTAGGCCTTATTCACATAGGTATACTAATATGTACACCTGTGTGAAGGGCCATTTTCACTCATGTGGAATCTGTACGAATCTCCAAGCACATACCCGATTCCATGGATCAGAACATGGTCTATACAGCCACCAGTTTCATTGATTTGAACAGGCTGTCTGTACATGGCTGCATAGAACACCTGAGTATCCCATGCGGGTGAAAACACTCCTTCACACAGGTGTATGGTTCAGTACGCCCATTTCCCTAGTCCTTACTATACAACCTTGGAATAACATGTCTACGTACATAACACCAGTATGGAAAAGGTCCCACTATACGCTTTCAATAGACCCATTATGGTGGTATATCTTCTTTATCACAACAATACTGACAGACAGTAAGGCTAGGTTCACATCTGTATGGGTGGTTCCCGCTGTGAGTCCATACCTGTTCCTGCAGACATAACCACCCACACAGAAAAAGGGACTGGATGCATGAAGGTGCCATTAATCCTAATGGCACACCGCACGCTTTGGAAATCGCTCCCACACTGGAAACTGCACTGCACTTTCTGTTCCTGTGCAGGCTGCAATTTCTAAAATGCTGCAGAGAGCTTTTCCCTGCATTTCAGGAGGCACAGCAACCCTTCAAATGAATAGGCTGCCGTCTCCACGTAAAATGCAGCTCACAGTCTCCACTCTAATTCATCCCAAAGGTGTTCTAACGGGTTGAGGTCAGGACTCTGTGCAGGCCAGCCAAGTTCCTCCACCCCAAACTCGCTCATCCATGTCTTTATGGACCTTACTTTGTGCAACGGTGCACAGTTATTTTGGAACAGGAAGTTGGGAGAATGAAATTGTCCAAAAATGTCTTGGTATGTTGACACTTTAAGAGTTCCCTTCACGTACTGTTCTCCTGATAACTGCCAAACCCAGACATGTCTATTGGATTGCCAGAAAGAGAAGTGTGATTTGTCACTTCAGAGAACACGTCTCCACTGCTCTAGAGTCCAGTGGTGGCGTGCTTTACACCACTGAATCTGCCGCTTTGCATTGCACTTGGTGATGTAAGGCATGGATGCAGCTGCTCAACCATGGACACCCAATCCATGAAGCTCTCTATGCACTGTTGTTGTGCTAATCTGAAGGCCACATGAAGGGTTGGAGTTCTCTAGCTATTGACTCTGCAGACAGTTGGCACTTCTGTGCACTTCAGCATGCGCTGACCCCGCTCTATCATTTTACGTGGCCTACCACTTCGTGGCTGAGTTGCTGTTGTTCCCAGTTGCTTCCACTTTGTTATAATACCACTAACAGTTGACCGTGAAATATTTAGTAGCAAGGAAATGTAATGGACTAATGTAATGCACAGGTGGCAACCTATCACGGTACCGAAGCTTGAATTCACTGAGCTCCTGAGAGTGACCCATTCTTTCACAAATGTTTGTAGAAGCAGTCTGCTTGATTTTATACACCTGTGGCCATGGAGGTGATTGGAACACCTGAATCCAATGATTTGGAGGGGTGTCCCAATACATTTGGCAATATAGTGTATCTTGTATCAAGGTGTAGTGCTAGCTGCTACATTTTTTTTTTCTAAGTCCAGAATTCTTTCACTGCTACTAATGCATTGGAAATGTCTTATTGTTATTATTATTATTTATTATTATTATACAGGATTTCTATAGCGCCAACAGTTTGCTCAGCGCTTTACAATATCAAGGGAGACAATACACAACAATACAGTTCAATACAAGAGGGATAGGAGGGCCCTGCTCCTTGGAGCTTACAATGTCTTATTGAATCATCCTGAATATGTGTTCCTAACCCAGGACTGTGCTGCCACAAAGATATCTAATCAAATAGTCACCTTATACGTTTTTATTATGACATCATGTTATACTTTGTGCTTTAATTTTACCATGACCAGCTTAGTACTGGCGGATCACGATTCAGGGCTCAGTGATTTATCAATTACATAAACAATTTCCTCGTTCTTTCCTGACGACCCTGTCTGGGCAATCTGTGTCACGATGCTGCCTGCTGGTTGTAATAGTATAACAGCTTGCTGTATTGTCATTATATCCGCCATATGCAGCTGGATGGTAAAATGTCACAGGACCTCTCCGATTTACTGCAAACTTCACTCAACTTCACAAATAAATAGTAATAATTCTTTTTATTTCTTCCCTTAGCATAATGTTGTACATACACGGAGATTCTGTATGTTCTGGTAACCGAAATATAAGTGAAAGTATGTAAAGCATTTTAATCCCATCTACAAAACTGTGAAAGGTCTAGGCTTTATAGCTGGGTATCATTCCACTAGGAAGATGTCCCTTCACTTATTGTTCCCGTGACACCATGACAAGAAATGCGAACGGGGTCACTGGATATGAAGATACAGACAAACACAGCAATAAAAGCATCACAGAAATTCAAACCTTTCCCCATTTACTAAAAAAGAAGTATTTTTGTTCTCGTCTTATTTCTCACCTGAAAAATTGCTATTCCTCTGACCTTGTGTCACCTTTTTCTCTTACCTTGTGTCACCTATTCCTCTAACCATGTGTCACCTATTCCTCTGACCTTGTGCCACCTATTCCTCTAACCTTGTGTCACCTATTCCTCTGACCTTTTGCCACCTATTCCTCTAACCTTGTGTCACCTATTCCTCTGACCTTGTGCCACCTATTCCTCTAACCTTGTGTCACATATTCCTCTGACCTTGTGCCACCTATTCCTCTGACCTTGTGTCACCTATTCCTCTGACCTTGTGTCACCTATTCCTCTGACCTTGTGCCACCTATTCCTCTGACCTTGTGCCACCTATTCCTCTAACTTTGTGTCACGTATTCCTCTTGTGACCTATTCCTCTGAGCTTGTGCCACCTATTCCCCTGATCTTGTGTCACCTATTCCTCTGATCTTATGCCAGCTATTCCTCTGACCTTGTGCCACCTATTCCTCTAACCTTGTGTCACGTATTCCTCTGACCTTGTGCCACCTACTCCTCTGACCTTGTGCCACCTATTCCTCTAACCTTGTGTCACCTATTCCTCTGACCTTGTGCCACCTATTCCTCTGACCTTGTGTCACCTATTCCTCTGACCTTGTGCCACCTATTCCTCTGACCTTGTGTTACCTATTCCTCTAACCTTGTGTCACGTATTCCTCTGACCTTGTGCCACCTATTCCTCTGACCTTGTGTCTCTTATTCCCCTGATCTTGTGTCACCTATTCCTCTGATCTTATGCCAGCTATTCCTCTGACCTTCTGCCACCTATTCCTCTAACCTTGTGCCACCTATTCCTCTAACCTTGTGCCACCTATTCCTCTAACCTTGTGTCACCTATTCCTCTAACCGTGTGTCACGTATTCCTCTGACCTTGTGCCACCTATTCCTCTAACCTTGTGTCACCTATTCCTCTGACCTTGTGTCACCTATTTCTCTGACCTTGTGCCACCTATTCCCTGATCTTGTGTCTCTTATTCCCCTGATCTTGTGTCACCTATTCCTCTGATCTTATGCCAGCTATTCCTCTGACCTTGTGCCACCTATTCCTCTAACCTTGTGTCACGTATTCCTCTGACCTTGTGCCACTATTCCTCTGACCTTGTGTCACCTATTCCTCTGACCTTGTGCCACCTATTCCTCTAACCATGTGTCACCTATTCCTCTGACCTTGTGCCACCTATTCCTCTAACCTTGTGTCACCTATTCCTCTGACCTTTTGCCACCTATTCCTCTAACCTTGTGTCACGTATTCCTCTGACCTTGTGCCACCTATTCCTCTGACCTTGTGTCACCTATTCCTCTGACCTTGTGCCACCTATTCCTCTGACCTTGTGCCACCTATTCCTCTGACCTTGTGCCACCTATTCCTCTGACCTTGTGTCACCTATTCCTCTGACCTTGTGTCACCTATTCCTCTGACCTTGTGCCACCTATTCCTCTGACCTTGTGCCACCTATTCCTCTAACCTTGTGTCACCTATTCCTCTGACCTTGTGCCACCTATCCTCTGACCTTGTGTCACCTATTCCTCTGACCTTGTGCCACCTATTCCTCTGACCTTGTGTCACTTATTCCTCTGACCTTGTGTCACGTATTCCTCTGACCTTGTGTCACCTATTCCTCTGACCTTGTGCCACCTATTCCTCTAACCTTGTGTCACCTATTCCTCTGACCTTGTGCCACCTATTCCTCTGAGCTTGTGCCACCTATTCCCCTGACCTTGTGTCACCTATTCCTCTGATCTTGTGCCAGCTATTCCTCTGACCTTGTGCCACCTATTCCTCTAACCTTGTGTCACCGTATTCCTCTGACCTTGTGCCACCTACTCCTCTGACCTTGTGCCACCTATTCCTCTGACCTTGTGCCACCTATTCCTCCGACCTTGTGTCACCTATTCCTCTGACCTTGTGCCACCTATTCCTCTGACCTTGTGTTACCTATTCCTCTAAACCTTTGTGTCACGTATTCCTCTGACCTTGTGCCACCTATTCCTCTGACCTTGTGTCTCTTATTCCCCTGATCTTGTGTCACCTATTCCTCTGATCTTATGCCAGCTATTCCTCTGACCTTCTGCCACCTATTCCTCTAACCTTGTGCCACCTATTCCTCTAACCTTGTGTCACCTATTCCTCTAACCGTGTGTGTCACGTATTCCTCTGACCTTGTGCCACCTATTCCTCTAACCTTGTGTCACCTATTCCTCTGACCTTGTGTCACCTATTTCTCTGACCTTGTGCCACCTATTCCCCTGATCTTGTGTCTCTTATTCCCCTGATCTTGTGTCACCTATTCCTCTGATCTTATGCCAGCTATTCCTCTGACCTTGTGCCACCTATTCCTCTAACCTTGTGTCACGTATTCCTCTGACCTTGTGCCCACCTATTCCTCTGACCTTGTGCCACCTATTCCTCTAACCTTGTGTCACCTAGTCCTCTGACCTTGTGCCACCTATTCCCTCTAACCGTGTGTCACCTATTTCTCTGACCTTGTGCCACCTATTCCTCTGACCTTGTGTCTCTTATTCCCCTGATCTTGTGCCAGCTATTCCTCTGACCTTGAGTCACCTATTCCTCTGACCTTGTGTCACCTATTCCTCTGACCTTGTGCCACCTATTCCTCTAACCGTGTGTCACGTATTCCTCTGACCTTGTGCCACCTATTCCTCTAACCGTGTGTCACCTATTTCTCTGACCTTGTGCCACCTATTCCTCTGACCTTGTGTCTCTTATTCCCCTGATCTTGTGCCAGCTATTCCTCTGACCTTGAGTCACCTATTCCTCTGACCTTGTGTCACATATTCCTCTGACCTTGTGCCACCTTTTCCTCTGACCTTATGTCACCTATTCCTCTGACCTTGTGCCACCTATTCCTCTGACCTTGTGCCACCTATTCCTCTGACCTTGTGTCACCTATTCCTCTGACCTTGTGCCACCTATTCCTCTAACCTTGTGTCACCTATTCCTATGACCTTGTGTCACCTATTCCTCTAACCTTGTGCCACCTATTCCTCTAACCTTGTGCCACCTATTCCTCTAACCTTGTGTCACCTATTCCTCTAACCGTGTGTCACGTATTACTCTGACCTTGTGCCACCTATTCCTCTAACCTTGTGTCACCTATTCCTCTGACCTTGTGTCACCTATTTCTCTGACCTTGTGCCACCTATTCCCCTGATCTTGTGTCTCTTATTCCCTGATCTTGTGTCACCTATTCCTCTGACCTTGTGCCACCTACTCCTCTGACCTTGTGCCACCTATTCCTCTAACCTTGTGTCACCTATTCCTCTGACCTTGTGTCACCTATTCCTCTGACCTTGTGCCACCTATTCCTCTGACCTTGTGTTACCTATTCCTCTAACCTTGTGTCACGTATTCCTCTGACCTTGTGCCACCTATTCCTCTGACCTTGTGTCTCTTATTCCCCTGATCTTGTGTCACCTATTCCTCTGATCTTATGCCAGCTATTCCTCTGACCTTCTGCCACCTATTCCTCTAACCTTGTGCCACCTATTCCTCTAACCTTGTGCCACCTATTCCTCTAACCTTGTGTCACCTATTCCTCTAACCGTGTGTCACGTATTCCTCTGACCTTGTGCCACCTATTCCTCTAACCTTGTGTCACCTATTCCTCTGACCTTGTGTCACCTATTTCTCTGACCTTGTGCCATCTATTCCCCTGATCTTGTGTCTCTTATTCCCCTGATCTTGTGTCACCTATTCCTCTGATCTTATGCCAGCTATTCCTCTGACCTTGTGCCACCTATTCCTCTAACCTTGTGTCACGTATTCCTCTGACCTTGTGCCACCTATTCCTCTGACCTTGTGCCACCTATTCCTCTAACCTTGTGTCACCTAGTCCTCTGACCTTGTGCCACCTATTCCTCTGACCTTGTGTCACCTATTCCTCTGACCTTGTGCCACCTATTCCTCTAACTGTGTGTCACGTAT